CATTGGAAGGAAATTAATTAGAAGAAATATTTTAATATTGCTATTCGCCCTTTCTCTATAATAGAAGTATCAACCAAATTCACGATCGACAATGACAGATTGAAACACACGCGTGTGATTGGCACCAGTGAGAGATTTATATGTATCGCACATGTGCAAGTCAACTTAGCCTTTTATGGATATAGAATAAACTTGCTTAATTAGACCTGCTTTCTGATGTAGCTAAACTTTTTCCAGCCCAGTGAAGCACCCCAACTTCTCTTTTAGGTAATTGTCAGCAACACAGCAGTAAATATCAACATGAAGCAGATTATTATTGTAGATCACGCAGGGAGAACAAAGGGTGAAATATTTAACTGCAGGAGTGTTTGACTATATTCTGCGCAGTGAGAAAACCTGAAGTCATTTTCAAGGTCCACCATTTCTTACTTATTTTCAGTCTGGTCAAGTTTCTAAACTTTCTAAATCTCCTTTTTCTGGCTAATGAAAAGAAAATAGGATTCCACCGAGTCTCCTATATACCTACTCCCGGACTTCTGTGAGGATCAAATGAGATGAGGCATGGGAAAAGCTTCACAGACATTTGGTTACAGTGTGAAATGTTTCCACCTGTGTTCCTGGGCTGAAGAAACTGCAAGGGGGCTAGTCATCACTAGGGAGAGGAAGCTGGACATTGCTACGTGATGGCATTACCCAGCACCCACAGCGACCCATTAGGGCTGGGCTGGGCTGTGGGCTGCATTTTGTGCCATTTCGGCAGCATCGGCTGTGATTTGGTGGGCTGTCACTCCAGGGTGGTGGTGGGGCCTGTGTCCCACTTGGGGGAAGCCGAGTGTTGCTTTGTGGGTGCCAGGTCCACGGGGCCTGTGCGCATCACAGCAGCTCCTGCATTCAGCATCTGCCCCCTGGTGGTCAGTGCACATCATAGCAACCAGTCAGAAGGTGGGAAGGACACTTAGCATATTAGCCTTTTATATAGATAGATTATGTATAACAGGATATTGTAAAAATTAAGTTACAAAATTTTTATTAAGACATTTCTTACATACTGTTATATTGGCTGGGCCACAAAAATATCAATTGCGGGCCACGAGTTTGACATGCTTGGGTTAGATGAATGAAGTAATGAATTCAGAGACACCCAGTGCTTAGAAGCAGGCCACACAGCATCTCAGGGCAGAAAACCTTCTGGACCAATGCAATGGCAAATCTGTGGCATCCATACCCACGTTTCCACTCCTCAACCCAGGGCAGACATTACTAATCAATTCCAGCACTGTTCCCAAAGAACAGTACTCAGAGAGAGTTCTTACCCTCAGATGAGGTCCTAGAGGGCAGAGAATGCTATGGTCCCTGCCCAACACACCTCTGATCTCAGGCCTCCCTGAAACTCCCCACAGCCTCAGTCCTGGCCCTCTGGGTCCCCCAAGGCTCCTGGGCAGCCCTCCGCATCCAGAAGATTCCAGAGCGACCTCAAAAGAACCAGGACGTGCTCCTGTCGGTCCAGGGCATCCCAGCCGCCTTCCAAGACTTCATCTGGTACCGGGGGAAGGAGACAGATGGTGGCACAAGGCTGTTCACCTACATCCCTGATATACAGCGGCCCCAGAGAGATGGCAGCGCCATGGAGCAACGCGACATCGTTGGCTTCCCCAATGGCTCCATGCTGCTGCGTGACGCCCAGCCCAAAGACAGCGGCACCTACCACGTAGAGGTCCACATCAACCCTTCGTGGACCATGCGGGCCAAGACTGAGGTCCAGGTGCCCGGTGAGTGTTGGGTGCTGGGGGAGGAAGTGGGAAGGCTCATGCACCCTGAGCCGCTACCGCGTGCTGGGCCCGGTGCAAACACTTCCTCTATTTCACACACATTGATTGAGCACTTCCTGTGTGCCAGGCTCCAAAGATATTTACTCCCCGCATGCATTAGCTAATGAAATATCTACTGAATGGCAAACACAGAGACAGACCTGGCGAGTGGACCATCTCACTTACTCCTCACGTGCACTCATGAATGAAACACTTATTGAGCACCTAGTGTATGCCTGGTCCAGTCTTCATGGTCATACATCAAGTGTTTTTTGATTAATCCACTCTGGACCAAACACAAGAGACAGGGTAATGGACAACAGCAACGGCTAAAATTTCTTGGACACTTGTTACGGGCCAGGGACTGTTGCAAACATGCCCTAGGGCAGGGGTGGGAAATGTCTGGCCCGAGGGCCGTATAAGACCCTCGAAATCATTTGGTCTGGCCCTGCCAAGGCACTAGGGGTGAGTTAATTAAGTGATTGACAAAATACAGCAGGCTATTTTTTTTAATGCATGGATCTTTTTTATTAAATATATTTTTATTGATTTCAGAGAGGAGTTGAGAGAGAGAAGCATCAATGATGAGAGAGAATCATTGATCGGCTGCCTTCTACACACCCCCTACTGGTAGTCAAACCCAAAACCCAGGCATGTGCCCTGACTGGGAATCGAACTGTGACCAGCTGGTTCATAGGTCGATGCTCAACCACTGAGCCATGACGGCTGGGCACTAATTTTTCAGTTGATGATTTCGTACGGCCGCAAATGATGTTATAAATATCCAAATGGCCTTTGGAAGAAAAACGGTCCCCCACTCTTGCCCTAGAGCATAGCTTCTCAACCAGGGCACTGTTGACATTTTGAACTGGTTAATTCTTTACAGCAGGGGCTGTCCTGTGCCCTGTGGGCCACTGAACACCATCGCTGTCCTCTCCCCACCAGATGTCAGGAGCCCCCCTGCCAGTCGTGACAACCAAAAATGTCTCTAGATGTCCCCCAGGGGCAAAGTCACCCCAGTTGAGAACCACTGCCCTAGAGTAACTCACTTTTACCTGTAAAAATCTCCATGATATGTTATAGTCGCCCTAGCCTGTTTGGCTCAGTGGATAGAGCGTCGGCCTGCAGACTGAAGGGTCCTGGGTTCAATTCCGGTCAAGGGCACATGCCCGGGTTGCGGGCTCCATCCCCAGAATGGGGCATGCAGGAGGCAGCCGATTAATGATTCTCTCTCATCATTGATGTTTCTCTCTCTCTCTTCCTCTCCCTTCCTCTCTGAAATCAATAAAAATATATATTTTTTAAATGTTATATGTCAAAGAAGCTGGTGGGGGGTGGCCCATAATAACCAGACTCGATCATTCATCATCTACGTCCCCAAAGTTACCTTTGCGAATTTCATAATGAATTCTAATTTATCAGTTCACATATTGGTCTCACTAGGAGAGTACGTCTTCAAAATGAGAGAAATAGAACGTACTCATCCTTTTATCATCCAACATCTACCACCGTGTGCGGAACACAATAGGTTCTCAGTTAATGTTTGTTGACTAAATAAATAAATGAATGAAAACTTTAATTAAAAAAAAAAAGAAAACTCCCACGAGGCAGGTGCCATCATGGTCTCCATTTTACGGCTGGGGAACTGAGGTACAGAGAGGTTACGACTTGCTCAGTAAAAAAATTCAACAGAACGATGCGATCTGGGATGGGAGGTTATCGGGGAGGCCTCCCTGGAGACGGGACATGGAGCAGAGATGACAAGAAGGCCAGCGAGGCAGGAAGCCGGGCAGATTTCTGGGGACAAAGTTCCTGGCAGAGGGAACAGCAAGTGCAAAGGCCCTGAGGCCAGACTAGTTTGGTGTGTTCGACGCATAGACCGCACAACGCCATGGCTACAGGTGGTGAGCAGGTGGGGTGTTCGTAGGCGAGTCTGAGAGGCGCACAGGGAGCAGGCTTGTCGGCCGTGGGGAGACTGCCAAGAAGCCATACCGGGTTTAAAAAGAGAGTGATCTGAGTCACAGTGTAGCCCACCCGTGGGGCCAGTGCGGGTTGGATTTCTGTTTTATCCAGGAGGAGCCTGAGCCGACGGGAGACCAGCATGACTGAGGCAGGACAGCAAGGAGAGCCTCCGCAGGATATATCTGCGCGAGGCTGAGACTGTAAGGACAGAGCTCTCTCCAGCTGGCGCACAGGGGGGCGATCTTGTGAAGCCCGCGAGGTAGCCCCTGGGATGTGAGGGCCAGGAGGTCTGGGTCCACAGCTGTCTCCCTGGAGCCTAGAGCAGGGCAGGACTCACTGTTGAATGAATGGGTGGGGCCCACCGGGTCTGGCGGGAAATGAGTTGTCAGGACGGCAGGTGCTCCCCCCTCCTCCAGAGGGCGCCATCGCTGGTCTCGTCTCTGCTCGGGGCTCCATTCTCCCCTCCCGGGCCTGGGATTCCCATCAGGACACTAAATAGTGTGGGAGCCCAGGCCTCTCTGCATATTCTGAATCTCCTCTCCCAGGATGCGGAGATAAAAAGAAAAGGGGCTGGACAGACAGGCAGACAGACTGAGAGAGAACCTGGCTGGCCCACCTGGCCTGTGATTGGCTTCCCCTTGAGTCGAGGGTCCACCCCTTGTCCGAGGGGGTGGGACCAAGTAGGGCAAACAGGATGGGGAGCTGGGGATCAGGGCTGGGAAGATGAGCAAGAACTCAGCACCTATAATTGTCACAATATGTATTAGTATTTATTATCGCTTCCTTCACCATTAATCCCCTGGTGCCTAGAGCAGTGCTGAGCACACACCAGGCACTGAGGAAATCATGGCAATGCCATCTCCCATCTAAGGGGCACGTACCCCATACCACGCACCTCCAGCTCAGAACTTTGCTGACCTCAACTCATTTCATTCCCACACAAACCCTGTTGGGGAAGCCCTGGGGTGACCCCCATTTTACAGAGGGGCAAACTGAGGCCCAGGGAAGGCCCAAGACCACACCACTGGGAGGAGGGGAGCCAAGGCTCCAGCTGGGTCCCAGTCCATCCCCTGGTGCCTCTGCCACCGGGCTCTTTCTCTATCAGAGGGACTCCAGGAAAGAGGGGTCCCTTGGAGAGAGGGGTCCCGGGGAGAGAGGGTCCTGTGGAGAGAGGGGTCCCGTGGAGAGCAGGAAGTAACAGGGCCTGGCAGGACCTGCCTTGACTGCGCACAGGGAGTGGGGAAGCAGAGCGGTGCAGCTCAATGGAAAAGGAAGAGCAAAGCAAAAGGCAGAGGCTGAATTCATGGGAATTAGGGACAGAGCTGGGACAGTCACCTTGACAACCGGGGCATTTATTTTTGAGGGTTGTTGTGACCCCAAGTTCAGCCCCTCCATGGTGGGGGATGGCGATGGCAGGGTGCTTTATCTCTCCTAATCATGAGGGGATCTGGCTGTAAGGGAAGCCTCCCAGTGGGCCTGTGCAGAAAGGGGCTTAATATGCCCTAGCCGGTTTGTCTCAGTGGATAGAGCATCAGCCTGCGGACCAAAGGGTCCCGGGTTCTATTCTGGTCAAAGGCATGTACCTTGGTTGCAGCTTCTCCCTAGTCTGGGCCCTGGTTGGGGCTTGTGCAACCAATCGATGTGTTTCTCTGTGTTTCCCTCTCTCTTCTACTCTTCCTAAATATCAATTTTAGAATATCCTTGGATGAGGATTGACCAAAATAAAGAAAGAACAAAGGAACGAAAGAACGAAAGGAAGGAAGGAAGGAAGGAAGGAAGAAAGAAAGAAAGAAAGAAAGAAAGAAAGAAAGAAAGAAAGAAAGAAAGAAAGAAAGAAAGAAAAGAAAGAATCTTAATAGAGTCCTGGGTGCTCACGGGGCCTCCAGGCTGGGAACCAGGAACCAGCAAAACTGCGCCCGCTTGCCTGCCTGCCTGCCTGCGGGGCACTGGAAAGCTGCATTCGTTCCTTTATTCATTCAACAAACATCCATTGCCCACCTGCTGTGTGAGAGGCACCCAGGACAGAGATCGCTGCCCTGGTGGCGTTTATACGTCCGTGGGCATGTCCACCTCGTCCTCACCATCAAAGGCCTGGTCCGGGGCCCCTGCCTAGGTCTCTAGCTTCTGAAGCCTAGTCTCACGCGGGTGCATCAGAGCCTGGGTCACATGACCGTGGGAGGTTGAACAGGAAGCTAAGAAGGGGAGTCTCTGGAAGGAGTTGAGGCGAAGGATTCGCAGGCCCAGGGCGGCCTGAAAACACAGTGTGGCCGCGGGCCCTAAGGGAGAGAGAGCACGTGGAGAGTCATTATTCCAAAAGACCAAGGCAGAAATGGGGGGCTCTCCTGACCTCGCCTTGGAAGTCACACTGTGCCAGCTACACGGCATTCTTTTCTTTATTATCCTCACCTGAGGACATGTTTATTGATTTTAGAGAAAGAGGTGGGGAGAGAGAGAAACATCAATGGGTTGCCTGCTATACACACCCCAGCTGGGGACCGAACCCACAACCTAGGTATGTGCCCTGACCAGGAATTGAAGCTGCAACCTTTTGGGGGTACAGGACGACGCTCCAACCAACCAAGGCAGCGGGCCAGGTCTTCGCTGCATTCATCCTTTGGATTACAAGGGAGTCACCGAGGTTGGCCCCGATTCCAGGCCGGGTGTCAGCGCCTCCCGCTGGAGAGAAGAGCAAGGCCGGATCACAGAAGCGCGTCCCGTCGCAATCAACTTTGGAAAATACAGTGATTCACAGGCTCCCTGTCTGCTTGCTCACTGTGTATAACAAAAGGCAGAAAATGCAGCGAGTTCTAAAAAGAGGACGCTTCATTATGCGAACCGGGCAGGGTTTTTGCTGCAGCGGCGGAAACTGCTTCCGGCTGATGGAAGCAGCAAAGGGACAGATGGAGAATCCAGAGCAGCTCAAGGGCTCTGCAGGTGCCAGGCAGCCAGGCGGGGCGGTGTTGAGTGTGGAATTAGGTCCCCTCAGGAAGATACGCTGTCCTAACCCGCAGTCCTCAGAATGGGGCCGTCTTTGGATATAGGGTCTTCACAGAGGTGCCCAAGTGATATGAGGTCAGTAGGGTGGGCTCTGATCCAGTAGGGCCCGTGTCCTTATAACGTAGGGAATTGTGGACACAGAAATCTGGATGTGAAATTGCCCAGGGTTTCTATGTCAGAAGCAATGTCACGTTTTGTTTGCTCAACATGGTGCTTTAAGGCATAAGCTGTTCACGCACGAGACTGGGAAATGTCTTTATTTGCAGCAGGCTTATGCCCAGCGAAAACTCAAGGTTCTCTTTCCAAGGAAGGAGGGGGCATGGGTAATGCCTTCCTGGTGGCAAAATGACCCGTGTTCACAGGCCTCACAACTCCAGGACTCCGGGAAGAAGGGATGTCCTGTTCCCAGACTCCAACCACAGCCCTTCCCCTCACTCTGACTGGATCCGCCATGGTCGGCAAAATGCGGCTCTCGAGCCACATGCATCTCTTTGGCCCCTTGAGTGTGGCTCTTCCTAAGCCTTAGGAGTACCCTAATTAAGTTAATAACAATGTACCTACCTATATAGTTTAAGTTTAAAAAATTTGGCTCTCAAAAGAAATTTCAATCGTTGTACTGTTGATATTTGGCTCTGTTGACTAATGAGTTTGCCGACCACTGGCATAGACTCTACTTTGTTGGAGAACTGAAAGAGGTGTGTGTGTGTGTGTGTGTGAGAAACCTCATTCAATCTTCACAACAACCCTATAAGGTAGGTATTCTTATTATCCCCATTTCTCAGATGGGAAAACTGAGGCTCAGAAAGGTTGAGCAATCTGCCCACGTTCAACATAGCAAGTAGGAGGCAGGGTTTCTGATCTCATAGTCTATGAACTCAGCTGCCAAGAAGGGTTGGGACATAAGTGTCCAACTTGAGATTACAGGCTGGGGGTCCTCATGGTGGGGGTTGGAAGTCAGGTAGGCTTTGTCCCAAATCTGGCACGGTGAGGTCGAGAACCCTTCAAGTTGAGTGCCCGGTAGTCCCCCAAAGAGAGAAATATCAGTGTGAGAGAGAAACACCAATCGGTTGCTTTCCATACATGCCCTGACGGGGAATCGAACCCACAACCTTTCGGAGCCACTCCGGCCGGGTGACGTGTTGGGTTTTATGTGCAGTGGAACCAGCTCAGGTCTGAAAAGCAGGAGAGAGCTCTGGGGTGGGAAGTGGCAATGACACATCAGTGCTCTATAACCTCTCTCATTCTCCTCAGAAAATTTTACGGAGCTGCCCGTTACACACCTGCCCGTGAGCACTGGGATCGTGGCTGCCATCCTCATCGGATCTCTTGCCGCCGCGTCCCTCCTCGTCGGCAGCATTGCCTATCTCCTGGTGACAAGAGGCTGGAGGGGCCAGAGGCACAGGTACTGGGCCCCAGGCCACTCTGCGTCCCTTCTGTCTCCTCCCCAGCCCCCTCCCAATCCCTCCCATTCATTGATTCTTCCACAGGTCACGTCATCTGGCTCATTCACAATCTCATCCAATCTTGGAACTCCTGAGGTGACAGAATCTTTCTGTCCTGTCTTAGACAGGATTCTGCTTTGCCAGGGACTAAAACCCTCCGCTTAAACTGGCTTACAGAGAATTAGAAAGCGTTTTGGTCCTGCATGAGCTTCAGGTGTGGCTGGATCCAGGGACTCAATTTTGTCAGGAAACTCCTCCACGCATCTCTCACCTCTGCTTCCCTCTATGTCAGTGGTTCTCAACCTTCTGGCCCTTTAAATACAGTTCCTCCTGTTGTGAGCCAACCATAAAATTATTTTCGTTGCTACTTCATAACTGTAATGTTGCTACTGTTATGAATCGTGATGTAAATATCTGATATGCAGGATAGTCTTAGGCGACCCCTGTGAAAGGGTTGTTCGACCGCCAAAGGGGTCGCGACCCACAGGTTGAGAACCGCTGCTCTATGGTGCTTTATTCCCAGGCAGGCTCTTACCTTGCAGTGTGACAAAAAGCCCCCACCAGCTCCACCACTGCAGAGGAAAGACCGTACCTTGTTCCTGATAGTTCCAACGAAGCCAGAGGGCTGCCTTCAATCACAGGTCCTTGCACGGACCAGGCACCGTGGCCGGGTGCTGGGACGCTCCAATTGGCCGAACACGGGCTCTTCGTGCAGCCCTGGAGCTGGAAATAGACCCAGCGTCACATGATCAAACGGACTGAGAGTGGGGAGGGGTTCCCCAGAGGAAAGCCAGATGAGCTTCAGGTGTGGCTGGATCCAGGGACTCAATTTTGTCAGGAAACTCCTCCACGCATCTCTCACCTCTGCTTCCCTCTATGGTGCTTTATTCCCAGGCAGGCTCTTACCTTGCAGTGTGACAAAAAGCCCCTGGTGGCTTCAGGTTTATACCCCACCAGCTCCACCACTGCAGAGGAAAGACCGTACCTTGTTCCTGATAGTTCCAACGAAGCCAGAGGGCTGCCTTCCATCACAGGTCCTTGCACGGACCAGGCACGGTGGCCGGGTGCTGGGACGCTCCAATTGGCCGAACGTGAGCTATTCCTGCAGCCCTGGAGCTGGAAATAGACCCAGCGTCACATGATCAAATGGACTGAGAGTGGGGAGGGGTTCCCCAAAGGAAAGCCAGAAGCTATGGCCAAAGAAGTGGAGTGGGTGGTGGGCAGGCAAAGCCACCAGATGTTGCCTACCTCTGCATGGGCGTTTTCCGAGGGAAGGGGGGCGGGGAAGTCTTCTCCCGCAGCTCTTCCTTATGTGCTGCGCTTTCTTGACCTTCATCATTTTACTTGTCTTTCTCCTGATACGTTCTATGTAGGGGTGAGAAGGAGCTGTAAAATATAATATAAGCTGCCCTAGCTGGTTTGGCTCAGAGTGTCGGCCTGCGGACTAAAGGGTCCCAGATTCAATTTTGGCCAAGGGCACATGCCTGGGTTGCGGGCTCGATTCCCTCCCCACCAGTAGGGGGCGTGCAGGAGGCAGCCAATCAATGATTCTCTCTCATCCTTGATGTTTCTCTCTCTCTCCCTTCCTCTCTGAAGTCAATTAAAAAAATATTTTTTAAAATAATAATAATATAAGCAGAACCACCTTAAAATGTAGCCAGAGCAACAAACAAAATAGAAACAGGTTCATAGATACAGAGGACAGACTGACAGCCGTCAGAGGGCAGGGGGGAGGGCGCTGGGTGAAAAAGGCGCCTTGAACATTTCCTCCCTCAAAGCTTTGGATGTTAAAAGCGCAAGGTGACCTCTGGGCTGGGATTAAAGCCGCACTGTGTCCAAAGTACTGTTTGCAAAATAACAAGGAGGCAGTATTATAACTATGACTACGGGCTGATGGCCACTACGAGGCCGGCCACCTAAAGCATTTTTTAGAATGAAAATCACTGTGCTCCCTTCTCTGCACCCACAGAAATGCCTCCTTCTATGGATGTCCTTGTATCCCTGCCCTTTCTCAAGATCCGCCTCCTAATCGGAACACTGGCTCAGGATTTCTGCCTGAGCCAGTTGTTTCCTGAATCGCTCTTCTTTTTTTATCTCAGATAAAAGCTTGTTGCCTCTCAGTTCGGCCTTTTATTTTTTATTTTTTTTAAATATATTTTATTGATTTTTTTACAGAGAGGAAGGGAGAGGGAAAGAGAGTTAGATACATCAGCTGCCTCCTGTACACCCCCCACTGGGGATGTGCCTGCAACCAAGGTACATGCCCTTGACTGGAATCGAACCCGGGACCCTTTAGTCCTCAGGCCGACGCTCTATCCACTGAGCCAAACCAGTCAGGGCTCGGCCTTTTATTTTTAGGTGAACACAGTTTCTGTCCCTGGGAAAGGGGCCTGGCCCTGAGCCGGTCTGCCTAGGGCAGTGGTTCTCAACCTTGGCTGCACATTAGAATCACCTGGGAAAGTTTTTAAAATCCTTAAAATCCTGATTTCTGGGCCTCATCCTCCGGAAATTCTGTTTCTTTGTTATGGGGTGGGGCCACAACATTAGCAACAAAGAAACAGAATTTCCGGAGAATGAGGCCCGGAAATCAGGATTTTAAAAAGATTCCCAGGTGATTCTAATGTGCAGCCAAGGTTGAGAACCACTGGCCCAGGACCACCCGGAGTGTGTGGGGGCTTGACTCCCTGCAGAAGTGTCACAGCACGAGTCCGGGTGAATTTTATTTTTTAAACTTGAAAAACATTTATTTACTTGGCCACATCACTCATCATTGAAATGAGTAGCTAAACCTTCTATCTCCTCGGGAAAACACAGCACTGTGGAATGTCTATTGCATCCTGTGGAGAACTTCGATCTTAGGTCCCAGGCAAAGAGCTCCTGGTTTTGGTCCCGTGAGCTCTCTTTGAAACGACCTCTCAGGAGAATTTAGAGGACGTTTATTAACGCGGGGGGGCAGTGACGCGAGAAAGGGCTGGGGAGTGAGCCTAGGCTGGGCTGCTGGGGGCCTTGGGACAGGTTCAGGGGGGTGTCTGGGATGAGCTGCTGCGGCCCATTGCTGCCCTGGTTGCGAGCCTCATGGGGTCCCTTAGAGTTTAGGGGATGCAGGCCTGCGGGGAAGAAGGAGGCAGCATCGCCATGCGCCTGGGAAGGAGAGGGTGCTGGGTCCTTTGTCGAGTCCGGGTGAATTTTATTTTTTAAACTTGAAAAACATTTATTTACTTCCCCACATCACTCATCATTGAAATGAGTAGCTAAACCTTCTGGTTTTGGTCCCATGAGCTCTCTTTGAACCGACCTCTCAGGAGAATTTAGAGGATGTTTATTAACGCTGGGGATAGTGACGCGAGAAGGAGCTGAAATACAACTGAGGCCTAGATGTTACCTGTCGGGAGGTGACCTGTAGCTGCTGTAAATTGCTGTCAGTTTGCTCAGCCTTCTGTCTCCCTGAGCAGGGGAGTTAAGCTACCCTCTGGTTGGGGAGGAGCAGTGCAGGCCATGTACCCCTCTTAATTGCGGACCAGTAGTTTTATTGCCAGCTTTACCCACTGGCCACGAGTGAGCCTAGGCTGGGCTGCTGGGGGCCTTGGGACACGTTCAGGGGGGTGTCTGGGATGAGCTGCTGTGGCCCATTGCTGCCCTGGTTGCAAGCCTCATGGGGTCCCTTAGAGTATGCAGTGGTCGGCAAACTGCGGCTGGCGAGCCACATGCGGCTCTTTGGCCCCTTGAGTGTGGCTCTTCCACAAAATACCGACTTCTGTGCATGGGCCACGAAGTTTCAATCGCACTGTAGGTGCGCGCCCGCACGTGGTATTTTGTGGAAGAGCCACACTCAAGGGGCCAAAGAACCGCATGTGGCTCGCCAGCCGCAGTTTGCCGACCACTGGTAGGGGATGCAGTCCTGTGGGGGAAGAAGGAGGCGGCACCGCCATGCTCCTGGGAAGGAGAGGGTGCTGGGTCCTTTGTCTTGAGGCTTTTATTTCTCTCTGGCAGCAGGAATTTCAGGGGAGTCTCGGGGAGGGTTTCAGCAGACTATTCATCGCTTTTCCAGGTGTGCTCCTCCAGGGTCCTGGTCTCCCCGGACTGGTCAGTGTCAGGGCGGGGCTGTCAGTCATGGCAGCTGGTCCTGGTGTGGCCCACCTGGTTTTGCTGCTTTTCTGGGTCTGGAGCTGAAATACAACTGAGGCCTAGATGTTACCTGTCGGGAGGTGACCTGTAGCTGCTGTAAATTGCTGTCAGTTTGCTCAGCATCTGTCTCCCTGAGCAGGGGAGTTAAGCTACCCTCTGTTGGGGAGGAGCAGTGCAGGCCATGTACCCCTCTTAATTGCGGACCAGTAGTTTTATTGCCAGCTTTACCCACTGGCCACATAAGTTTCTATTGAACGAGTACAAAAAAACGTTTTACGTAAATGTTAAAGGCACGCTTTAAAATGAAATACCCATTGCATTTTGAAGTTATTTATGACATGTTCTAATAAGATAATATCTTTTAAAGTATGGTACTTTGTAAAACGCTGTGTAATATGAAGCGAGAATTCTCGTGATCCGTCTGCAATGTGTCGAGTGTGCCCGGTTTAGGGCAGACAGGATTTACCGGATGGCTGCAAACTGCTGGAATTCTCGTGATCCGTCTGCAATGTGTCGAGTGTGCCTGGTTTAGGGCAGACAGGATTTACCGGATGTCTGCAAACTGCTGGTTAACTATCTGTCTCAGTTTCCCGATTCTGCTTGTCCTGGCTTACTAGCCTGGCTTACTTTTCAGTTCTGGTCAGTAAAGCAGTCATCACATATTTGTTGAGGGCCTACTATGTGCCAGGCACTGTTCTAGGTACTGGAGAGCTCAGTGGAAAGGGGTTGGAGGCACATCTAAGTTCAGTGGCGAAGGATGCTGGGATTGATTAGTAATGTCTGCTCCCATCATAGCAAAGGTAGTGGAGGCACATAAGCCATTCCTGCTAGACTCCTTCTTAACTCACAAGAGGAACCAAAAGAGGTGGTGGAGTGGATTTGCCCCTTGGGCCATAGTTTGCCATAATCTCTAGGAAACTAAGGCTTAGAGACATGAAGTCATTCGCCAAATGGCATGGAACTGGCCTGTGCATGCCAGTCGTCTCTTAGGATTGGAACTCATGCCTGAGTCATTTGTAAGCCCCAGACCCTCAGACCAGCTTTCCCCCCACTACATCCAGTGACTCTCAAAGAATCTCAAAGATTCTCAAAGCACTGGCTAAACTGTAGGCAACTTAAGATGGCATTCTGGGCCATGGCATTAAAAACACAAAACCATGGAAATATCTAAATACATGGAAGTACTTAAGGGTAAAGGGCCATGATGCAGGCAACTTACCCTCAAATGATTAAGGGGAGGGGGGGATATACCTTGGGGAAAGAGAGAGGGAGGGAGGGAGGACAGAGGCTAAAGCAAAAGGAGTAAAAATAATAGGGCAATCTGAGTAAAAATTAAACAGATGTTCTTTGTACCATTTTTGCAACTTTTCTCTAAGTCTGAAATATTTCCATATTTAAAAGAGGTTTTTTAATGGGTGGGTAATCCATTTTCTATTCTCTTCGCATCGTTCTGATTATGGCAAGTGCACATCCCACTTGGGTTTGCTCAGCCTCGAACGCCTTTCTAACACCTGGTGGCTTTTGCCAAGAGAACCTCGGCGACCAGCTTGAGCTACAAATGTAAATCATCATTGGGCTTGCCTTTATTTTCCCGGTCATTTTCTGCTTATGTCTCATTGGCAAGCATTTTTATTTATAATATAACAGCTCCTAGTGGCTCTCCCTGCTTCCTTCCACTCCTGGCCCCACAGCCTGTTCCCCATGCAGCAGCTTGAGAGATCCTGTTAAATCAGTCAGGCCCTAGCCAGTTTGGCTCAGTGGATAAAGCGTCAGCATGTGAACTAAAGGGTCCCAGGTTCGATTCTGGCCAAGGGCACTTGCCCGGGTTGTGGGTTCCATCTGCCCCAGTAGGGGGGTGTGCAGGAGGCAGCCAATCAATCCCACTTGGGTTTGCTCAGCCTCGAACGCCTTTCTAACACCTGGTGGCTTTTGCCAAGAGAACCTCGGCGACCAGCTTGAGCTACAAATGTAAATCATCGTTGGGCTTGCCTTTATTTTCCCGGTCATTTTCTGCTTATGTCTCATTGGCAAGCATTTTTATTTATAATATAACAGCTCCTAGTGGCTCTCCCTGCTTCCTTCCACTCCTGACCCCACAGCCTGTTCCCCATGCAGCAGCCTGAGAGATCCTGTTAAACCAGTCAGGCCCTAGCCAGTTTGGCTCAGTGGATACAACATCGACATATGAACTAAAGGGTCCCAGGTTCGATTCTGGCCAAGGGCACTTGCCCAGGTTGTGGACTCCATCTCCCCCAGTAGAGGGTGTACAAGAGGCAGCCAATCAGTGATAATCTCTCATCATCGATGTTTCTATCTCGCTATCTCCCTTCCTCTCTGAAATCAATAAAATAGATAGATAGATAGATACATAGATAGATAGATAGATAGATAGATAGATAGATTTTTTTAAACAGTCAGCTGGGGTCCCTCAAAGTCAAGGCCATAATCCTCACTCACCTGGATTAAGACCTGATCAATCTCCAACCCCCACCTCATCTCCCTGAACTCCCCTCTTCCCACGCTCACAGTCCCTCCTCCCAGCCACACTCCTCTCCTTGCTGTTCCTTTGCTGTTCCCGCTCCTGCCTCCGGGCCTCTGTACAGACTGTTCCCTCTGCCTGGAACTCTCTGCCCATGATTTCTGCACAGCTGGTCCCCTTGGTTGGTCCAGCCCTTTGCTCAAATGCTACCTTCTCGGGGAGGCTCCCTACACACCCCCTCCACCCTCTGCTCCCTTCCATCTGCATTTTCCTTCATAACACTTTTCTCTCTACTGCTGATTGTTTATTCGAATTCTCTATCTATCATCTATCTATCAATCATCTGATCAATGCAATCTCTATCTCTCTCTCCCCACCAGTGTGTCCACTCTAGGGGTCTTTGTTGGTCTGTGTCCCCAGTGCCTTCAACAGTACCCAGCTCATGGGTGGTGGCCCATAAATACTTATTCAGCGGATTTACAAATTTGTGGTAGTGAGGCCAAGTGTACTTTTTAAATAAGAGTATTCAAATGAGCCAATTTAAAAAGAAATTTTGTTTACAAATGCAAGGGAAAGTTTATTTACAAAGTCACAGAGGTAGAAAGAGTGAGCCAGCTGGGCTGCATGGGCTCAGGAAACAAATTACAGAGGCCAAAGAAGGGCTCTTGGAGCTTAGGAGAGAGAGAGAGAGAGAGAGAGAGAGAGAGAGAGAGAGAGAAAGAGAGAGAGCCTAAAGAGAAATATTAAGGAAATCATGAGCAGGTGGATGGAGCAGAATTGCTTAGATAGTCTGCATAAATGGTGACTTTGGAGGAACATTGCTCGTTGGCATAAGGTGGAGACTGGGGAAACTGAGGAAGGGCTGTGTGGCAGGGGATTATGGGAGAAGAGACGTGGGCAGGGACAGGCCTCGTCCTGGCTCACTCTGAAGCAGGGACATGGCTCTCTGGGGCCTGGTGGGCTTTCCGGCTCCCCTGGGCCTCTCTCCACCCCTGAACGTCGCTGTACTAATGTCGGTTCCCTCCCCATGCCCCCAGGATGGCGACCACAGGGAAACCGGAGCTGGGCCCCAGTCACAACACTGGTAAGCCAGGGGCCCCGTCCTGCGACCCGGGCAGTCTCATGCCTCCTTCCTCTTCTCCCCCAGCAACAACCCCCCTGGCCTTCCCCTACTAGGGGCCTCCCAAACATTTGCCCCCCAGACCTCTCTGGGGTCCCCAGACTCAGCCCACAGATGCTGAGGGCATCAGCACTCACCCCAAACCTGGTTTTCTCCTCTGCTCAGTGACTGCCACTCCCTGACCCCAGGCACCACACTCACCCAGCCACCAACAGCCACAACCCACCTCAGGCTCCACCTCCCAGATCCCCACGCCCAGCTCCTCGCCTCCGGCCAGCGTCCTTCTAAAACTCTGACCATGTCACTCTACTCAAAGACCTTCCATGGCTCCCCAGTGCCGTAGGATGAAGTTCGGGCTCCCTAACATGCCTCTCAAGGACACCCATAAACCAGCCCCCGCCCCCCCCCCCCCGACTTTCCTGGCTTCATCTCTCACATGGTACATTCCCATCCTCAAACAAACAAGCAAAACAAAACAAAAATATATACATCCAGACCGAACAAACCTGTTATAGTTCCTCAAACATGGCAGCTTGGCCTGGTCCGGTGGCTCCGTTGCTTGGAGCGTTGTCCTATACACCCAAAGGCTGCAGGTCCGCTTCCCGGTCAGGACACATACCTCGGTTTGGGGTTCGATCCCTGGTCAGGATGTGTAAGGGAGGCAATCAATCGATGGTTCTCTCTTCCTCCCTTCCTCTCTTTAAAATCGATGTAACATGCCCGCTTGTGGGCTCCATCCCCAATGTGGGGCGTGCAGGAGGCAGCCAATCAGTGATTCTCTCTCATCATTGATGTTTCTCTCTCTCCCTCTCCCTTCCTCTCTGAAATCAATTTAAAAAATAAAAAATAAAATCAATGTAAC